AATTCATGTGTTTTTAAAAAATCCCCATTGTTGTGCCACACAGGGTGGGGTGATCTCTGAAGACATGATTCAAATGATTTTCTCCAGCTCTCCTGTGCAGCAGCTAATAGGTACTCAGCGCTTTAGGAAACTACTTTCTAAAGGTAAGTTTTTCTTTGGACATTTGCTGCTTTTTCATTCATTTTCAGTCCAGTTCTTGTACCTGAACATTTTCAAAGGACTCTTTTGTTTTTTATTAAGCCACTTAACTCTGACCTATAAATCATTTACGCATGTTTTGAAAGTACGAAACACAAGGGCTGAACCAGTGTTGTGTCCACACATAACAGCAAAACCCTAAGAAGAATGACCGCCTATTCTTCAAAGAAAACTCAAGAATGAAGGTGGGCATACTAAATTATAACTTTGACGCTCATTAGAATTGTACAAACTCTATTTTGACCTTGTGTACTGTATTTCCCCAGCCCCTCTATTTTGACACTAAAACTATTGAACCTTAATTCAATTTCTCACTTCACATAATCGTTTCACTTTTGCCTTGAAGTGTTACTTTTAATTTAACTTAATTATTTTTTATGACCCATGTTCTCTGGTGAGTTCAGGAACATCTGTAACTTCAAGTGGAAGAGTTGCACGTGAGTTAAAATTTTCTGTAATACCAAAAAAAAAAAAAAAAAAAAGACAAAATACTGGTGTTTTTGTCGAATAATCTGTCTGACATGAGGGATAATATAGCATTTGCATTTTAACTAAAAGACTCTGAATACGCACTGACACTATGGGCACATTTTTAGAAATCTATTTAATTCCACAGAAAGGTTAGCCACTTTAGTGTTTCACTTGTGACCTATGAAGTACCCCCGAAATTGTACAAAACAACAACAATAAACACTCGAGGATTTTAAAGAGTTTAATTTTTTCCAAAGTTTGAGAGCGCTCACCCCGGCTCCGGGCTCCACAGATGTGATGGATGAGGGCTCCTTGCTGCAGACTGCAGCGGAGTGTTTGACAGTCAAACATGAAACAGTCTTTGGAACTGAAACGGTCTC